AAACAAACCCACACAAACACACACACACACACAAACACACACACACACACAAACAAACCCACACACACACACAAACACAAACCCACACACACACACAAACACACACACACACAAACACACCCCCTCCGTGACTTACTTATGGCTCCAGTCACCATCAGCTTGGAGATGAGCATAAGGAAATCACACACCTTGTCAAGTATAACCGCTCTGTGGGAGAGATAACAGGGTGGGGGCGGGGGGATGGGTTGGAGGGTTATGGTAGACTGAATGAAGAGTTGTTGTTGTTGCTGCTGCTGATGATGATGCTGTTGTTGTTGTTGTTGCTGGTTTTGATGTTGTCAATATCATGCTCAAGAGCTGTTACAATTGTTGCTGTTTTTGTTGTTTCCAGTGACAAGTTGAAGAGTTGTTGCTGATGCTGCTGCTGTTGTTGTTGCTATAATTAACATCACGCTCAAAGTCACCAGGCTAGAATCAGACAAGAACATCAAAAGGAAAATAGACAAAGCACACCATATCAGAGCACCCACCAATCACTCACATCCAACAACTGTTTCCAGTACACATTATTAGGTCTTTGAAAGATACACACATCTTGCAACAGTTAAAACTCACCTCAGAACATTCCTCATTATCAGCATAAAACCGTCTCTTGCCGCTGAGCAGAAGGAACGACCATGCACCGCAATCTGACACACACAAACACAGGGAAAAAAATAAATGAGCTAGGTAAACAAAAAGCCTTCCATTAACACAATCATTATTTTCCTTTTAACATTGTTGTCCACAGAGGCACAAAGTCATCACCTGTCTAAGATGACCACATTTCTCCTCCACAGAACATGATCTTCTTGGGCAGGTTTGACTGTACAGTCGACTCCACTTGCGTTGAACTCATTGAGTTGATCTTCTGAAAGTTTGATCTTTTTTTCGGGTCCAAGCACCTCCTCTTCTTTACAGGTCCCAACGATTAAGTTGAACTTCGAATGAGTTTATCTTTTTTTCACTCCCCGAATGACAGCAACTCATCTGTGATCAACTATTTCAATAAAGCTTTCATTCCAAGAGGGGATCTACTACTCTCCTGACACAAGCATTTTTGTCCTATCAACAGTGTTGTCTACAAAGGCACAAAGTCTGATGTTTTCATTGTAAATCTTGATGCTTAATCCTAATTGAAGGTATCGATCTACGCCATTTAAATTATATTGGGAGCATGAATTTAATTTTCATCTATACATATA